CTTTCGGGGCTGGTTCGAGTGCAGCGACGAGGAGCTGACGCGGTGGTGGTTCGACGGGGTGTACACCAACGACCTCTGCGTCGACGAGTTCCGCGGCGCCGAGGACGCGGAGCCCCGGGGCGCGGCGAGCGAGACGCTCGAGGGGAAGATTGTGCTGCACGACGCGCCGAAGCGCGATCGCGATCCGTACGTCGGGGATCTGGCGGTCGCGGCGCTGACGGGGTATGTTTCGCATGGGAATGGGACGTTGAGCGAGGCAAGTAGGAATGTATTGGTGGATTTGGCGGTTCATCAGAGGGGTGATGGGTGGATTCCGCCGGCGAGCATGTGAGTTTTTTCCCATCTTCTCTCCTTCATTTTTCTTCTTTGTACTAGACGCTGCTTAAGCCATTTCGCCTGGGAAACTAATGCTTGGGACGGGATGTGAAGTATGAACTACACGCTTCCCTTGTTCGACTACCCCCTCTGGTGGGTCGTCTGCAGCCACGACTACGTCTGGTACACGGGCGACGTGGAGTACATCTCAACCTACTACGCCAACCTCGTCGCCGTTCTAGACGGATGGTACGTCTCCGTCACGGACCCGGAGACCGGGCTCGTGACCAAGGGCCTGAATGGTACCTCGGGCTACGGCGACTACGCTTTCCTGCCGAGACAGGGGCCAGTGACGTACTACAACGCGCTCTACGTCCTCGCGCTACGCCGGGCCGCGGAAATGGCGGCAGAGATAGAAAAGGAAGGGGACGCAGAGCGGTGGGTAGCGAGGGCGGACGACGTCGCCTCCACGCTGGCCAGACGCAACTTTGACACGGCGAGGGGCGCGTTCTGGGACGGGACGGACGGAGCCGGGGAGTTTGTGGCGGCGCACGCGCAGGACGGGAACAGTCTCGCCATTCTCGCTGGTGGCGTGGTGGACACGAGTACGGGGAGGGGCATCCTGGCGTACTACGCCGGCGCCGCGTCACGGACCTACGGGAACGCGTTTTACGACTCGGATGCTGTGGGCCAGGGGTTCAGCCAGCGGGTGTACGCCTTCATCTCCTACTTTGAGATGGCGGCGCGGTTCGCGTCCGGGGTCGGGGAGACGGCCGTGGAGGAGATGCGGAGGTTGTACGGGTGGATGGCGGGGCAGGATCCGGGCGTGACGTTTTGGGAGGGGATCGGGGGGCCGGATGGACGGCCTTACGAGGACGGGTTCACGAGTATGGCGCACGGGTGGTCCACGGGTGTTGTGCCGCTGATGAGTGGGTATGTTCTCGGGGTGAGGCCTACGGGGCCTGGGTTCCGGACGTGGAGTGTTATTCCTGAGGTGAGTGGGTTGAAGTGGGCGAGGGGTGTTGTGCCGACGCCCGAGGGGGAGGGGATCCGGGTTGAGTGGGAGGACTTTGGGACGGGTGAGGGAGTGCAGTTTAGGATTGTCGTGTGGGCTGCGAGGGGCACCAGGGGCGTTGTTGGTGTTCCTGTGAGGGTGAGGGATGTGGTTGTTGATGTTGGCGGGAGGGTTGTGTATCGTGGGCGTGACGGGGTTGGGGCGAGGTTTGAGGGGGAAAAGGTTTGGGTTGAGGTTGAAGGGGGAGATGGTGTTGATGGGGTGGCCATTTCTGTTCGACTTGTCGAGGAAGGTTTGTGAAGGGTGAATGATCAATCCCGTTGCCTGCCCCGAACAACATGCCAATCCAAATGTGGCAATAGTCCCCACGATCGTCAATCAGGAAGTAATTAATTATATTGACTGTAACTTGGCGTTGTAGTAGAAAAGCTTGACCGGAGAGTTAAGCAATACCAAGGCCCCCGGGTACATTGATAGTATCGTGAACCCACTCGAGTCAACCTAATTTAGACTTCTTCCAGACTCAAGGGAAACTCCACTCTCTAAATTGTAGATCTCTTCTGTACTATGTTACCCCGTGCTATCGGAGCCCTCGCGGTCCGCTTTCAGACCCAACTACTCATAGATTCACCGGAGCCTCGCCGCCTACGACCGACCCGCCCCGTCTCCTGGTAATCCGCCAAGACTTCACGATGGAGTCACTACGGAGGCCTATTTACATTGACTCAGCATCAATACTCACCGTCTTTCCAAGTAATGTGACAGGCCTTCAGGTAATGTGCTAGGTTTTCCTTACACCGACCCGAACGCGGACTTAAGCCTCATTCACAGGTCGCGGAGACTCCGACAAGCTGACGTCCCAGAGGCTAGAACCTCTTCACGATAACTGCGTGAGGAGTCATGTGAAGTTTTTTTTTTTTTTTTCTCACTTTAGGCACTATGTGCGCAAGAAATCCCACCCTTTGCAAATGTCTCTGTACGTGATTGCCCTTTAATAGTGTATACTAGCATATACATATCTCTTTGACTGTATACTGTATGTACTAGGACCCTTCAACGAGAGTAGAGCTTTTGCTGAAAAAGGTCATGTGGAGTATAGACTCGAAAAGACACCGGAATTTACTCCATCACTGACACAAGTCAGGAGGATTGAGTTCCGTATCTCTTCATTACCGGTCACTCTAACACGCATACCCCAAAGTTTGAGGGTATCCCAACGCAGAAATGGGCAGGCAAATGCATCCATTTGAGGATCTCGGTGGACGAACAAACCGGCGACTTTGAGGAGAACAGGAGGACATCTATGCGGGATATAACTATCTTCTGCGAGTCTCGATCGAATATAAATACAGCTGCCTCTTCCCCTTTCCTCAGACAATCATCAGCACAGAGACAACACCAGCTTCACTTCCGCATCCATCTTCATCACCATCCCCAAGACCCAAGCCAATCCTCTTCAAAATGGTTCGCATCATCTCCGCCGCCGTCGCCTTCCTGGCCTTTTTCGCCACCACCGAGGCCTGCGCCGGTTGGTACCAGTGCAAGTACAAGGATGGAAGCCACTGCTGTGTACGTTCACAAACCCCTGGCCCCCTACTCTCGATGATCTTGAGTAGTGACCTTCGGCTCTCGTACTGACTTGGGGTTCGACAACTAGGTGATTGACAGCAGCCTCGGCGCCGGCGGATGCCCTTCCAAGTGCGACGGCGGCTCCAAGTGGCCCGCGGAGTGCGTCAGCCAGACCACCGGCAACTCCCGTACTGAGTAGGTTTTGAGAGAAAAAAGAATACACCCCCGACTGAAGAGGGTAAAGAGGCTAACATAAGACATGTAGGTGCGGCAAATAAATTGCTAAAACTGCGTGTTCATGGCGGAAGTTCGCAGTGGCTTCTCGGCTCCGTGAAGTAGAGAGCTACGGCGCTGTTCTCAAGGCCATTGGGGGGTTTTTTTTTTTCGCTCGGGAGGGCGATTGGACCCGACATTGGGGGGAAGGGGGCTTCGCTCTCTGTCTTGGATGAGAAAGATAGTTGGGAGGGGGTTTTTGGCTGATTTGCAAATCAGGGGAGGAATACGCTTCATCCGGAATTCTCAGGGGAGGGGTACAAGTAGATCAGTTTGCCAGGTATACGCACGGTAAACGGTTGCCGACCTGTAAAATACAGAGCACAAATCGAACCAGGTGTTCCGAGTACGGAGACATAAGAAGGGAGTTGTCGGATTTTCAAGGTGTCAATTGACGTTGTCCTCGCTTCCCGTATCAGAGGCGGACGGCTATATGAGTGGCTGTTGTCCTCGTGAGCTGTTCATCCTCGTTGCCACCAGTCAGAGAGCGGCTGTACTGCGCAAGAAGTAGAGAGCTTTATCGGTGTTGCAAGATCATGTTGCGGAGCGCCAGCTTTCGGGAGACTGAAGTCCGTTTGATGAGACCTGGATTACGATTGCGTAGACGTAGGTGTATATAACTTGCCCACTCCAACGAACCTTCTGAAACCCCTGGAATAATTCCTGATCCTATACGTAAAGACGGATTCTCCCACTCGCTTCTTGAAGATGCAGAGACTGAAGCTGTATTCCCACCAAGCCACTTGCCCTGGATATAATCCCAATATGGGGCTTTCTGGCTTGACTCTAGTAGATCTTTCTTCTTGCTGTTCTTCTAGACCCAACTATTAACATACATGTCAATATGGAAAGTGTCTAATTCTCGGTTGCTTGCAGATATTCCATCGCGGACCTCCATCTCGAAGCCTCAGATCAAGCATAACCCATAGGTCTTGTTTACACTGGGAAAAAAAGACTATAAATACTTGTATGATGCCCCGAACCCAGAGCTCAACAAACGAAATAAGCCACCGAGGGTCTAGTCCCTTTGTGTGTGGTTGAAAGTGATCAGTCGCAACTACTGCACCAGAAGTCTCCTCATCCGATGGTGCTAGGAGGACGAGAACGGTTTTCTCATATGCCTACCTACGTTCCAATAGTGGAGCCTTTCTTCCGGAATATACGCCGCCCTTTCTCTATGTATATTCGCGTTCCCTACTTCCCGTCTCACCTGTACAATCATACGTACTGTTCTTCAAGCGGGCCATTGTGTGGTCTGCCGACGGCTGCGGGTTGGAGAATTTTCAGCTGCCACGACTTCAACATGAACCCGAGTCCTCTTATCAGCGTTTGGGCACTCAGCACTTGGACATCCAATATATGGATATAACCACGGGGCTGATAGGCATCCCCTCGACATCACCAGCAAGGGTACACATGCACTGCAAAGTTTGTATATAATCTCCAATGAAGGATATGTGCATTACTCTAAGGTACCTTAGTTGTCGTCTATATTGTTCAGCTCTTGAGAGCCTAATACTACTAGTTATGTTGGTACGGTGCCGTGGCACATGAATTCGTTCGCTGTTCCGATCATTACTCCCAAAAACGCCAAGGCCATGCAGGCTCCCCAATCAAGGTATAATAGATACTCGACAGTTGATATCACAGGTATCATGCAAACAGGTCGAAGCCGGCAGAATTGAACACAGGGCACCAAACTCCCTCTTCCACCCTAGACGTTGCCTCATCGTTCCGTCCAGTCCGCGTCTCGTCAATGGCCAGACCCAAAGGTCCGAACAGTCGTGAATCTTTTCTTTGCTAACTCCAATTTGGAATGACTCTTGCTTTACCGAAGGCGCATCTTGGCATCCTGAACTCCACGAGCGATGACATCCTCGAGCTTCCAGCGGGGAGCCTTGTACATGCCCTCCGTGCCGTTCGCCTTGCGCCACTCAGCTTCCGTCTCGGGAGTGATGCCTTCGGGAAGAGGCTCCTGTCCGCCAGCAATACCAGTAGAGAATCTGATCTGAAGTTGATCGGCAACCTCGTCAACGGCAGCCAGGAGTCTGTCAAGATCCTCCTTGTTGTGGGCTGAAGAGACGCAGAATCGGACACGCGAGCTAATAAGAGGCGTTGCGGGGTAGCCGACAATAACGACGGAAATCTTGCGCTTGAGCATGGCGTGACTGAAGGCGGGCATCTTTCCGGGGTTGTAGAGCATGACGGGGATAATGGGGGAATCATCGTGACCGTAGACGATGAGACCGAGGCGCTTAAGACCGAGACGTAGGTAGCGAGAGTTGAAGGCAATACGTTCCAGGCGCTCAGCCCCCTGGCCGGGGCAGAGCTCGCCGGTGATCAAACGGAGAGAGGCCAGAATTTGCATGAGGACGGAAGGAGCAGGCGACTCGCCAAGAGTGGTCGCGGCGTTGGAGCTACGGAGCTTGTCGATGATGCTCTTGTCAGCGGCGACGTAGCCACCATTGGCACCGAAAGACTTGGTAAGAGTGCCCATGAGAATATCGACACGGGCGGGGTCGATACCGTAGTAGTCGCAGACACCACGGCCACGGGGCCCGACGGCGCCAATGCTGTGGGCCTCATCGATGAAGAGGTAGAACTTGTACTTGTCCTTCAATGCCATGACGCCGGGGAGATCGCACATGGTGCCCTCCATAGAGTACAGACCTTCGACGGCAACCAGGATCTTCTTCCAGGGGCGGTGGGTGCGGGGCTGACCCTGAGAAATGGCCTCCCGAAGCTTGCGCTCGAGATCAACGACATCGTTGTGCTTGAAGGATGAGATGACCGCACCGGAGAGACGAGCACCAACTCTGATGGAAGCGTGGTTGAGCTCGTCAGAGAGAATGAGGCAACCCTTGGAGACGAGGGCGGGGAACGAGCTAGCGTTGGTGACGAAACCCATGGAGAAGACCATGGAAGCGGGCTTGCCGACGAAGCTGGCGATTTCCTTCTCGACCTCCAGAGCCAAGTCCGAAGTACCGACATCAGCGCGGGGGCTGCAAGTGCTGAGAGAGTATCTCTTGACGCATTCCTCAACAGCATCGGCACAAGGGCCCTCCGACTGCGCGAAACCAAGGTAGTTGTAGGAGCTCATGTTCAATGTCTCGGTGTGTGTGCCAGTGTAGTTGTAGGTTCTGTTGTAGTCTCTAGACTCGCGATCCATGAGGGTAATGTAGCGGCCGGGAACGCCGGTGATGGGTCGTGCGAAGCAGTCGTCAATGCGCATCTTCAGACGACGAACGTAAAAGTTGTCAAAGTCCTCGTTCAAGGGAGCGTATCCATTTTGGGGCTTGAGAGCCTGGTAATGCTTCTTGTCGCCGAAGCGCTTGCCAAAAAAGTCGCGGGCGTGGCCGAAGAGAATGAGAAGCAGGTAGCTGATGTAGGTAGTGAGGATGTAGTAGTAGGGCGGCTCATCGATGATGGGCGGGTCCAAGGGCTTGCCATCGTTGGACTTGCTCACGTATCGGTGGGTAGGGTGAAGGAGAGGGCCGAATTGAGCATCGAAGCGCCTCTTCTTCTCCGTCTCGACGGCCGAGGGAGGCGAAAAGAGGGTCGTAGGAGGGTCAGTGGTGTCGGGCTCGCCAGCGGTGGCAGTTGAGAGCGAAATTGTAGGCAGGGAGATGGTGGAAGGGGTGATTTGGGTGGACGAGATGTTTTGCTGCTGCATGGCGAGGAGAGCTTGCTGGGCAGTCTGGTGGTCCTTGTCCTTAGCGCCCTTGGGGGAGGTGAAGAAGTTGGTGATGCGATTGCCGGAACGAGAAGGTCTCCTTTCCTTCTCGGAGAGCGGCATGGCGGGTGAATGAGCGTTGGAGAAGGGATTCGCAATTCTACGGGGCATTGCTGAGAAGCGCGTGGCTGTCTATCTATGGTCGACTCAGTGGCGGTTGGAATAGGGGTATTCGAAGTCTGCAATGGAGCAGGAAAAGACCGAATTGAGGGAGAGAACGAGGACGAAGCTGTTTTCCTTGACGAAACCGAGAATTGATGCGCTGTGAAGAAGAAAGACGATCGGTCAGCACGAAATGCAAGTCTGACGGGAGGCCCGGATGTTGTGGAAGAGATAACAAAAATGGTTGGTGGTTTGAGAATTAGGGAAATTGTCGGTCAGAGTGTCAGTGGCGCACCCGCGGTCGCAGGCACAGAGTAGGCGACCACTAAGATGAGCGCGCTAGAAGTGCGAATAGCCAAGGGCTCACCTCCGACCTCTTGCGGCGGTTTGATGGAAGCACGAAACAAGACACAAATGAGGCGCTAACAAGACGCTTGGGGGAGCCACAGAGGCTATCGAGGCGCCGGAGTCCTCGGATTGGGTTGTTTTTGGAGGAAAGGTGATGATGATGATGATGAATTAACGGTCAAGCACTCACCAAGAAAGGCTGTAAGCAGCTGGTGCTCAAGTGGCCGAAAGTTGGAGGTTGGAGATACAGTCGTGTAGGTCCGAGGAAATCTTTTTTTTCTTCTCTTTGGCGACTTCTTTTGCTTTTGCGATTGAGCAAGTTGTGAGAAAGCAAGAAGTTGAGGAGGCGAAAGCGGAAAGGGGGTTAGGGGGGCGCAAGAGAGCAACGAGGATGCAATTAAGAGGTCGTGGCTCTGCAGTGGCTCAGGGCGAGAGTTCCAGGTTTGGTGCAAATGTGAAGAATGGGGTTTCCCGTTGAGAAACAGAAGATGCAGACGGCAAAAGGTGGTGAACCGAGCAAGTCTCGCAGAATTTGTAACAGCTGCAAGGGGCTGCAACTGCAAGGAGTGAGTGCTGAGGAGGATGGAAACTCGGGAGGATGGAGGGAGATTTGTTGGAGATGGCGGGAGCGAAAGAGGAAAAGGCAAATTGTCGATTTCGGCTTGTCGCGCGATGGGATTGGACCGTGATTTTAGGTAAAATTGGTGCGGGTGGGTGCTGCAGCTGTTGCACTGAGGTGAGGCGCGTTGATGAGCGATGAGGTAAGGTACTTCGTAAGGTACGGAGTACGTAGACGCAGTGATGAGGTGAGGACCTTGAAAGTGAGGTGACTTTTTTCGAGTGTGTTGAGAGTTGAGACAGGCAACCCGGAAAGGTACCTTACTTAGTGGCCTAAGTATCCCAACTGCGAAAAGCAGGTGACAAGGTACCTATAGCGTTGAAGTGGTGTCTGGACCTCTCTTCTCGATCGATGCAGGCCTGCGATTGGTCTGCTGTCGGGCTGTTCGGGAAGGCAGCTCCAGAGTCCAAGGGAAGGTTAGGACGGGGAATGAAAGGAAGGAACCACAGGATGATGTGAGCTTGGAGAGGAAGGAAGGGGAAGAGGAAGAAGGAGGAGAAGAAGTCTGAAAAGGAAAGAGGGCACAAGTTGGGAAATAAAGGCAATGACCCTGACGAGGAAAGAAGAAGAAAAAAAACACAATACGGATAATGCAGAGGAGATCCACGACGGTGAGGAAAATTACCGCGTGGACGGGCTGTACCTTACTGTGTAGCATCCGTGCCTTCCAGGTTGTATGACCCTAGTACGACAGCATGTTATCAAAAAGGTACTTTTGGAATGCACATAATAAGGTGCAGCCTCAAAGTATCTCCCCCCCCATCCCGCTGTGATGATTAATGGGGCTCTATGCCCACCGCGCAACTCATGTGGAAGCCGCGATGCGAGTGACTTTTCTTCCTCTCTTCCCCGTTAGCGCGTATCATTTCAATTTCGAGGATCGACTCCCAGGTCTCATTCTCGCACACCTCGACGAGTCTTTTTTTTCTTGTCTTTCTTCCCGCTTCTGACCCCTGGCCTCCCGACATGTCCGGGTTGCCCGCTGTTCGTCTTTCTATTGCACGGTCCTTTTTTTTCTTTCTTTCTTCCTTGTCTCGCCTCCAATTGGCCTGTCTCTCTATCCGTATCTCGCCTAGAATTCCTACTGTTAGACTCACGATGATCGCTCTCTTGAACACGCACATAGATATCACACACACACTAGCATTTGGCCCCCTTAGCCCAACCGCTAATGCCTACTATGCTGCTTGCCTCTGACAGTCAAGCGAGGCTTTCAACTTTTGGCTCCTAATCATCCTTATTCTTGGATTTTCACCCAATGTCCAAGTGTCAGACCCCCTCTGCGGGCCCTTCCACAAGCAACGACACAACGAATACTCCGTACCCTACCTGATATCCACAACCTTGTCTGCTATGCTCCGGCCAGTCTTCGCGACTAACAACTCACCTCATTTTACGGTTTGCGGCTTGCGGCTTGCCTTGCTCTGGCCGAACCACGTTTGCTGCATCTTTGATCCACTACCATATCCACCCACCCAATGTGATCTCGGCTGTTGGGCAAATCCCGTCTGGCCCCGGCGCGTTACTCAACTCGGCACCCATCCAGTCAACCATTGGCACCAAGCAGCAAGCAGGAAGCAACCATCAGATCACGCGCGGGAAAAGGGGGGAGGGGCGAATCGAAGCCTGACAGGCTGCCCGGACGACACGGCCGAGACGGACGCACCGGACTCTCGATGACTGATGATCGGACAATTCTTCCTTTGCAGTCGCCGTCCCTCTTCCAAGGACCACGATTCCCTCACCCGCCTTCGCTCTCGGATGCTCTGGAGTTCGCAACCGCTCTAGCATCAAGCCATGCCGCCATTGAGCATTGGCATTGCTTCGAGGCATAGTCATCCGCTTCTTCGTCTACCCGACCATGTCATCAAAATGCGACCCTCGGTATCCTGCACTAGTCCAGCCTACGCAGATCCCGCGAGGCTTTCACTGCTCCACGTCCCAAGCTCTGCTGTGCATGACGGGAAGAGCTGAGCTAAAGAGCTTCCAAGTTCCCGCCAGTGCCGTTAACATGTTCTCCCCCGGCTATTGCTACCACTACAGGACCCTGTCGTCGCACAATTCATCGTCCAACGGCCCGCCTTTGGCCAAACAGTCAAAATTCCCTTCACCTCCCGCCGCCCTATCCATGGTTCCAAGTTGAGTCGCCTGCCAGCCTTGCTAAGCCAGCGAAGCACTTCACCATGGAACCCCCTTGTTCCCATACTTGTCGACAGCCCTCCTCCTCACCTAACGCCGTCTGATGACTTGCGTGGAAGGGTCAAAGTGACGTTATTACCAAAATAGTTGCGTTGGACGTGTCTTTCCGGCAATGCATTCGACACAATGCATATAGCTATCTGGCCCATCTCTGCCCAACTCAATGCTGTTGTCAATACTCTCGTCCACTAGTGCCTCGGACATAATGGAGCATCGTTTGCCCTGCCAGTCGGCTTCACCGACGATTCAACAACTGACTTGACCCCAGCAAGTCAAGGCACTCATTTGGCTGAACAGTTCCTACGTGAGGCCCCATCGCATAACCATATTCTGCGTGCACAGGGCGCCCTCGACTTTGGCGATGGAAGCAGGAGGTTGCAAAAGGCAAAGAGAGAGAAAAGCAACCAAGGCGCTCGGATGACAAGTTGGCAATGGGTCGAACGAACCAGAGGCGCAGCACATGTCTCGCTTTTTTTTTGACCGTTGACTTGGGACACAACGTTAGCTAACACCGAAATACGACAGCACGAATGGCCATTCAATTCGAGACTTGAATTTCCATCAAAGGCTTGACGACATGCCGTTGCTTCTTTGTTCCACGTTTGTATTCTCCACGACCCTTCAATCTTCAATGGCAGTCACCGACCCACCTGCAACGTACGGCATATCGGCTAGTCTCCCGAGGCTTTGGTGACATTAGTTGGCCATCTCGATCTCTTCGATGACCGCATCGCGTGTTGCGGTTTCGCCAGATTATGATACTAGGAATCTTGGGTGCGGCCAATGACATTTCACACAATCTCCCGTCTGCAGTGCTTGTTTACCCGTGTAACAAGGTCCTCGACTGTGGGATTGTGGGATTGTGTGAGCTGTCACTGTACCATCTTTGATTGAGGCCCGTCGACTTGCAGGCTTCTCCCCAGCATTGGGTCCCGTTCTGAGACGTCTTCCCAGTCCGCTTGGACGACGTTATCGATATGAAGCGACAGCGATAGCGCAACACTGATCGAGCCCAACGAGACGCATCGAAGGGGGAGGGTAGAGGAGGGGGGCGCATTGGTGCACCAGCCACAGAGCGGAATGGGCGAGTCTCTGGGTTCCCAATGCCATGAACGCCTCGCTCAAGTGCCTGAAGCCGTGAAGGTCCTTGCCAAGGTGTGCCCTGCATAGCCTCATGTGCCTCGATGAGCTGGACTGTGGGGAGCGTCTGCAAGTGCTGTGTTGTTAGTTCTAGAGCTTACTCCGTACACTACAGGCTCGCCTGTCGTACCAGTCTTTTTTTTACCAGATGCAGGTACAGCGTCAAACAGCACGACTACTGCCCATGATCCACGGGTACCTTAGCTAAGGCAGAGCACAGTTCACCACGGTCCTCGTTCTCAGCAGAGCGTCCATGAACTGCGATGTTTGAGATGTCGAGGTTCGTCAAAGGTTCTCCGAAGACAAGAACAGGCGAGCAACGAGCCATGACCGAGCTCCAATGCGAAACAGAAGCACAGTCAGCTGGCCACACACAGTATCTGAGAAAAGAAGAGTTGATGTGGAAATTGGACCAAGCAGACTAACTAAGCTGACGATGAGCTGCTTGCCCTCCCTCGCCGATGTGCGGTGCAGCAGATTCCACCCCCACCCCCGGACTCCGGTCCAGCAGATTGTTCTGGTACTGCGTCCTCAACCCTTTTTCGGAATCTTCCTGCGGAACTGCATCCTCGGATTGCGACGGCCCAACTCTTCTCCCTCCACTCCGGCCGGAATCTCTCGACTCTCACTTTGGCGCGCTGCTGCACACAATTTTCGAAAACATTTTCTTCCCCCCTTTTAACTTGACCACCATCGTCGCCGTGATACCCAACATCTAGGTCCCATTTTGAGACGACTGCCTCTTCCGTCTCTCATCGTCTCAATTCGCTCCAATTCATCCAATCCGCCCAGCATGACCATCACCAGTGTCACGCGCAACGAGCTCTGGCGGCACCCGGACCCCACCTCGACTCCCATGTGGGCGTTTCTTCTCCGGGTGAATCAAAAGTATGGACTCGAACTGGCAGACTACCCCGGTCTCTACAAGTGGTCCGTCGAAAACGTGGCAGAGTTCTGGGAGGAGGTCTGGCATTCTGTGGGCATCACCGCCTCTAAGCCGTTCGACAAGGTACGCTGGGCCAATATTATTCGTCAACTCACCCCAAACTCAACTCAACCTCACCCTCTATTTGCCCTACTCATGCTTGGCGCGCCTTGACTGCCAATCTTGAAAGATAGCAGGCAGAAGGTAAAAGAGAAGGGGGTTGTGTGACATCACTCTGAGAAGGAGGGCTCAAACTCTACGCGAGTGCTAGAGAGAGCGAGCAACAGCCAGAGGGAGACACCAACAAAGTCGCCAATGCCATCCATGGTCCTCACCAGTGTCTTGAACCCTCGTCAGGACGCCCATCAAGAACCTTGATACTGCCTCGAGTGAGGCGGACAGCTATGTGGTCATGGCATACAGCTTTTGCATGACCATCATCCCCGAGCAATTGAGTCATGCCATGAGCCATTGTCTAGCCCATGGGAATGCCGATTTGCCCATCTCAACGCCTTCCCCCTCCTATACCGGCGCCCGTGCTGCCCCTCCAAAGATCACCTCAATTTCACTTTTCCCAGACCAATAGCTGACCCGGCCCGATGGGCCAACCCCCTTAGGTCCTGCCGCTCAATGCGCCCATGTACCCGCGTCCAGACTTCTTCTCAGGAGCCCGTCTCAACTTTGCCGAGAACCTGCTCTTCCCCGCCAACGTCGCTGTCGACCCCACATCCGTCGCAGCCATCACCACCACCGAACTCGGCCCCTCCGTCTCCACAACATGGGCCGAGCTCCGAGACGCCGTCCGCCGATGCGCCGCCGGCCTCCGGGCTCACGGCGTTAAGCCCAACGACATTGTTGCCGGCTTCGTATCCAACCACGTCCAGGCCATCATTGCCGCTCTCGCTGCTGCCTCTGTAGGCGCCATCTGGACTGGCATTAGCCCCGACAACGGTGTCAGCGCAGTGTTGGACCGTCTTGCGCAGATCGGGCCCAAGGTCCTCTTCGCCGACAACGGCACCGTGTACAACGGCAAGGAGTGGAGCAGTACCGACAAGACGGAGGAGATCGTCAAGGCCCTGATGCCTGAGGGCCTCGAGCTCGTGATTGTCATCAACAATGTGGCATGCGACCTTGCCATTGACGGCCTGAGAGCAACAGGCGTTGCAGTTGATGAGTACGAGTCGTTCCTCCAAAGGTAAGTCATCATCAACGCCTGGAAAAACTCACCAGAAGCCTCTTTACTGCATCCTGCTAACATCTTCACCCAAGCTCTCCCGATGAGCCTCTCAAGTTTGAGCAGCTTCCGCCTTCACATCCTCTCTACATCCTCTACTCCAGCGGCACCACCGGCCTGCCAAAGGCCATCGTCCACACCGCCCTCGGCACCCTCATCCAGCACAAGAAGGAACACGCCCTCCACGGTTCCCTCACCGCAAAGTCCCGCATGCTCTACTACACCACAACCTCGTGGATGATGTGGCACTGGTCCGTCTCCGCCCTCGCCGTCGGCGCCACTCTCGTCCTCTACTCGGGCTCCCCCTTTAAACCCCACGGCCACCTCTCCCTCCCCCGCCTCCTCTCCGACCTTCGCGTCACCCACTTCGGCACCTCGGCCGCCTACCTCACCGCCCTCGAGGCCAACGCAGTCTACCCCGTAAACGAGCCCGGCATCGACCTCTCCGCCCTCGAGGCAATCTACTCCACCGCCAGCCCCCTTCCGCCTTCCACCTTCTCCTTCGTCTACAAGGCCTTCCCCGCCAAAGTCAACCTCGCCTCCATCACAGGCGGCACAGACATTATCTCCCTCTTCGGCGCTCCCTGCCCCCTCCTCCCCGTCCGCGTCGGCGAGATCCAGTGCGCGGGCCTCGGCATGGCCATCCGCGCCGTCGACTCCCTCTCGGGCGACCCCCTCCCGGACTCAACCCACCCAGGCGACCTCATCTGCATCCGCCCCTTCCCCTGCCAGCCCCTCACCTTCTTCGGCACCGGAGGCGACAACAAATACAAAGCCGCCTATTTCGAGCGCTTCGCCGACGTCTGCGGCGTAAAGGGCGCGGTATGGCACCACGGCGACTTCATCAAGATCCCCAACCCGGCCACGGGCTCGCTCGTCATGCTCGGTCGCTCCGACGGCGTCCTCAAGCCCGCGGGCGTGCGGTTCGGGTCCGCGGAGATTTACAACATCCTGACGCGCTTCTTCGCCGCCGAGGTGGAGGATGCCGTCTGCGTCGGGCGCCGGCGCGCCACGGACGCCGACGAGACGGTGTGTCTGTTCGTCGTTCCCGTCGCGGGCCGCGCGTTTGACGACGAGTTGAGAAGCAAGATTAAGAGTGTGATTCGGAGGGAGTTGAGCCCCAGGCATGTTCCTGGTGTTATTGAAGAGGCTGGCGGCGGGATCCCCAAGACGGGGAACGGGAAGAAGATCGAAGTTGCCGTCAAGCAGATCCTTTCCGGCATGGACGTCAAGACCAACGCCAGCGTCGCTAACCCTGAGGCCCTGGAGTGGTTCCGCGCGTGGGCCGAGACGCACTAGAGTCTTGCGTCCACGTATTTGACTCACCCGCTCATTTCTTGCGTGCTACCCGTCTCCCCCGTGGTGTATCTTGTTTGGAGGTTGTTTAGAAGTGGGAACTATATTAATTAGGTACAAGGTCGTCATGGGAGGGATCTAGACTCCATGAGGGGAAAAAGAAAATTGCAATGTTTGGGCATATGCCTCGATCCCAGGATCTGAAGCTAAGCTAGAAAACTTATATCAAGTGGCATAGAAATTCAAAACAGTTTGGATTGACCAGGGCTCTCCCTCTGTACCTGTACCATCGTCACCCAGTCCAACCGCGTTCATGACCAGATATTCATCTGATAGGAGAGAAAGGAAGAGAAAAAAAAACATGTTGCCGAGTTCTCGGATCTCAAGCCGGATCGGCTCCGCCCGCATCGGAGCAAAACGCCGAAAACCTCTCTCTCTCATTGAAAGATCTCCGGGGATCCGCGCAGGCCGTGGGGGGGGGGGGGAGGTAAAAGGGTGTGTACCTATATGGCAATGAACCCCCCACGCCTTCCAGTCTCGCCCTATCTCAGTTTTTCAGCCCCCAGCACTTACAGCCCGCCTATCCTACCCATCCCAAGAAGCTCCTCCCCCCCTCCCCCCTTCGGAGCGGACCGAGTGGTCACAGGGGCCGTCCCGACAGTCTGGATACACCACACTGAGTTCGGTAGTGTGGTATGGAAGACTGACTGGGGGAGGGGAGGGGGGGCAAGGTTATGTTACAAGGTAGGCGTGAGAGAGAGGGCGTGGACGTAGATCCGCATGTCCTTCCCGTCCTTTAATCAACAACATGCCCTGCTTTGCTTCCGTGTTTCTACGTTCATCTCTTCAGCTGTGGACGTCAGAGGTTACATCTGTCCTCTGCTCTCTTCGTTCCGGATCCGTTATGACCAGGTATTGATTCTTGTGGTAGGATAGAACTCAATCCTAGCCCTCTGTAGGTTACAAGGTTTCCAAGGTCTTCCGTAGACTATCATCCCGTACGGGAAAACGTGCCATCAATCATCGGCACATTTGTGAGGCCGATCGAACCTACATCACGTCTACCGAAAGGCGGCTTCACGATATCAACTCGCGCCCCTACAAGCAGTAGTGCCATGGATGCAGGGATGTAGGATGGAAAGCTCAAACATATGCAAGCTGAGCCTGAAAAGTGAATTCATGAGGATCAAGATAAGGAGAAAACACCAAACTGAGGATAAAAAGTCTCATTGAATAACTGCTGTGATCTTCTCGACCATCAGGTTCAAAACATCTGATAACCATGCCCGATAACTCCTATTAGTATGCAATCCATCCACCATCTAAGCGTGGACTGTGATCCTTTGCTCAATTTTTTACTGCCGTGTCATGATGTTCCTTTTTCTCTCTGTCTTTTCTTTCGCACCACCCATGCGTGTATATGCCAGGAAGCACGAAATCACTTATCCAATTCTCCAATACCCATTATCATGCAGGGAAAACAGAAACACGCCTGATTGAGAAACACTCGAGAAAAGATTACTGCTTGACGCTCGCCATACGCTTGGCCATGCTAAGTAGAAGGTTAGAATCATGTTCAATGGATTGAAGGGCGCAGGAAAACTTACAAGTCGTAGAAAGCAAACTGGCTAGGCTGGCTGCCAAACTGGTAGACGAACCTCGAGGCGAGGTAGCTGCCGAAGATGGCGCGCAAGTAGGAGTCGGGGACGCGCTCGATGATAGTGTCGAGACCAATCTTCTCCAGAAGAAGGTTGGGGAGGGCGTCATGGAGGACCGAGCGACGGATGGCTTCGTTCTTCCAGAGATCGGAGTGCTGGAGCTCCTCGTCCAAGGTGGTGATGGCGTTGGACAGGTTGTCGGAGAGGGTGCTGCG